CCCCAAAACCCCAAAACCCCAAAACCCCAAAACCCCAAAACCCCTTCATAAATTTTGTTAATGAAATCAGGTTAAATTATAATATTTAAAAATGAAGGAAAATAGGGATATCCTGTTTTGTTTTTGAGTTAGAAACAACTTAGCTTCTTCGTGAGAGGCTGCACAAGTTGAACACAAACAACGTTTTCCTTATATAATATAGGTTATGATACAGGAGTTTCGATTGCATGTCTATTTCTGAAAATATGAAGGTCGAGGCATTCAAATGCTTCTAAAAAGACGTCTTCATCTCCTTCTATACATATGCACTCAATGCATCTCTTTTCATGGTTAGGAATTTTCAAGGTGTTTGCTTGAATTATAGTTAGTTTGGAATCCTTTTTAATTTGAAATATTACTCGAAAATATTCTTCTCAGATTTTGCTGGAATACTTCTTCAGCTTAGCAAACTCAATTACTTCGTGCATTAGAGAGTCCCCATCATCACAATCATAATAAGGTGTGTATTTTGTTGGCATATTTTTCATAGCTTCCAAAATTTCCTTCGTTTCACCAGGACTGCTTTCGATATCAGATTTTTCAGATTTTTGAATATTAGTGATTCTGGTCTCTTCTGGAACATCATCAGCATTGAGATCTCCTTCTATTACCAGGTTTCTGCAAATAAATATTTCTAATATTTCCTGGTGCTTGGGGAGTTCCTGCTTGTACCAGGCATGTTTTCTGACCTTCTTTATTTTTAGTCTTTCATTACCGTTGACAACAACCATTTTTCAGAAGAGATCCTTAAACTCCTCGGAAAGATGGACTATCTCAGGGCACTGGAGGGTATGGTAAGCCCAAAAACCATTGAAGTCTTTGATTATAATGAAAGAGTAGTATTTATCATCTGGTTCGGCTTTAATAAACGGAAGTCTCTGAGTTACCATCATAAACAAGAACACCGCTGCTGAAAACAAGTCTACCTGCTTTGGCTCGTATTCAACCCCGGCAAGAACTTCAGGAGCCTTATAACTCAAAGCATTATTTATTTTATATCCGCATTCTTTCTTAGACGTAAAGTTATGATAGGCAAGTTTTAAATTGAATTCTGAGTCTAGTATGATTTCTTCAGGTTTGATTTCCCGATGAGTTTCCTCTGTCTTATTTTTGATTATTATAGCTTTGATTAGTTGTTTGAAGAAATATCTGGCGGTAGACTCTGAAAGGCTCCCAGATTTCGATATATATTCCATCATAACACCATTTTCACTATCTTTCAAGATGATTCCTCTCTCTTCAAGGTATTGCTCAAATCAGCCTTCTGAACTGAGGGAAGAATTGAGCGAATCTAAGTCAACATTTTCCATGAAGTTCTCGATTCCTTTTGTTGAATTTCTTTGGGATTTATATTTCTTCATGGTTGGAACTTCTTGGTCAAGAGGGTTTAGGAAATTGCCGAATTTGATTCTAAATTACAGGATGAATCAATTATTAGAAAATGGAGTTCACATTATCACTATCAAAATCACAGGAAATAATCCCAGAAAAATAAAATCCAGAACCTACTTGACCAGGACATCTGAACTCAAGGCTTTTATTGATTTGACTTCTTCAGTTGAACGCATCTGGTTACAAAAGATGATGTTTAATTAGTTTTTGATAAATAATTAGTAGCCCTAAGATCTTATATAGGGGTTTTGGGGTTTTGGGGTTTTGGGGTTTTGGGGTTTTGGGGTTTTGGGG